ATTTAAACCTCATTGTGTGGACACACCACAGTACATCTGACTCACTGGAGGGCATCTGGGTTATTTCCTGGGTGATTGTATACATGTCTTTTTTTGCTCTCCAACTGATTCTTGCAGTGCAAGAAGGTGGGGGCAATATTGCCACCATTTTAATATCTTTTAAGAAAAAGTAGAACTCAATAATTTTTATGTGAAAATAACTGGGGGACCAGCTTAAAGTTTCTAGAAGTATTTAACAGGTGAATGAGAAACGAGTCTGCAGGCCATTCCTTCTGAGCCTCCACTTTAAGGTTTCTAGATGAGGTCATTCATGTTGAGAATTTTTCACCTGAATCTAGTAGTCAAGTTAACTTGAAGGAAACTTAGAAAAACTTCCTTTAGTACTAAAGAGTGGCAAAGAAGAAACTATACAGAGGAAGGAATTTTAATAGGTGTTCACGTTAGGCAAGCAGCAAGGTAAATCCATTTAAGTGTTCATTTAAAACAATTGGTTGTAGTGCCTGGAAATTACAGTGAAGCATTCACTTAACACCCCAAATTCAGAAATAAGGGAAAAGGGATTATCTTCAGGGAAGTAAACTTTTAAAAATGAAAACTTTAAAACCTTTCAATATTTTACAAAGCCTGTAGAGAAATGCAAAATTTTCTTAAAGAGACTAAATGGCTTCTAGGCCAACAAGATTTGACTGTAATTTGATTAAAGAAATTAATGTTTTTAATAAAGACATGTGCCAGTCAGGGTGGGAGATGGTCAAAGAAGACTCCAGAGCCTGTTTTAAGTTCTGTGCTTGCACAAGACTCTGCTAGCAGGTCAGCCATGACTGTGGAGATGGTGTCACTGGGGAGAGAATGCACTCTTCATAACAACCCCTGTATTTGGTTAGTGTGACAGCAGCATACATCTCACTCTCTTGTTATTCCCAGTCTCTGAGATCTGCTTAACTGTAATATTCCCTGTGACAGTTGGTTCTGCTGGTAGTTTTTGGGACTGGAAAGCTGAGAGCCACTCTCAGGACTGGTAGGGCCCTAGGTGGTGACATTGCCCTATGACGCTTCTTTGGGGACAGACTGTTTTGCTACCATTGGTATCTCATCTGCATTTCCATGCACTTGTGCCTTCATATTTCTACATTCATTAAGTGCTTACCTGGTGTCAGGCCCTAAGTTCAAGTACTGAGGGTAAGCTCTGGGAGACAAGGCCTGATTCAATCTCATGAAACCTCTAGAGCAGGACCTTTTCCAGGCCCTGGGATCCTCCCTAAATATCTGTGAAGATGTTTGTGTGTTAAGTATGTATTTCTTTGGGGAGAGGGTCTACAGATACTGAGAAGGTTCTCTTAGTTGAGATGGTTTAAAGCATTGCTCTGAGGAGCAGAATTTGGCTCCTTGAGCATAGAAGCTCTGCAAGGAAAGAAGGCCTGGACACCTGGAAGCCAAAGGTTAAGCCCTTAGAGATGCAATGGACCTGGATGCCCATGGACAGAGGAAGAAGAATATGTGGGTAGGGAAGGGTTACAGAAAGGGACAGTGTGCTATTCCATAATGCACATAGCCTGCCATGAGCTTAATTATTATTTGTGTAATAATCTGTTGACATTTTCCCAACAGTTTTTTTTTTTTTTTTTTTTTTTTAAAGCTAACTGATCTGTCTTTGTGGGAGGTAAGAGTGGGTGGAGGGCAGGGTAGCAAGGACAGTTCCCTCCAGCATACTCAGGGACATAGAAAGCACTCCATATATGTTGGACGTGAATTGCTATGGGATGATAATAACAGCACTATGCTGATTTTTGCAATTTTAAACCCAATATCCGTTAATAGTCCCTTGCAATGCAATTCGCTTCAACTTCTTAGTACAGTTCAACTCGCTGCGATAAGCAATAGTTAAACGCAGCTTGTTGACATTATTTCATCCTTTCTACAGAAACTTTAGCAATGTGTTATGGTCATGAGCAATTAAGTGGTGGTGTGTTGGCCACCAGACTGAGAGCAGGGAGCTCTTGGAGCGACACTCCGGTATAACTAAGGAGGGTTCCCTTGGCTTGCTTGGGAATCCAGCTGATTCTTGCAGTATGAGAATGTGGGGACAATATTGTCAGATTTCTAGTTTCTTTTTAAAAAAAGTATAAATCATAACTTTCATGTGAAAATAACGGGATCAATTTAAAGTCTTAAGAAATCCTTAATAAGTAAAGAAGAAACCAGACTGTAGGTCATTCCTTTTGAGCCTCCTGTTTAAGATTTCTAGATTAGGCCATTCACGTTGAGAATTTTTTACCTGAATCTAGAAGTCAAATTAACTTGGAAGAAACTTAGAGAAACGTCCTTTAGTACTAAAGAGTGGCAAAGAAGAAACTGTACAGAGGCAAGAATTTTAATAGGTGCCTGGGTTGGGTGAGCAGCGAGGTAAATCCATTGAAATGCATTCTAAAACAATTGGTCATAGTGCCTGGAAATTACAGCGACGCATTCTCTTCACACTCATCTGCTTCTGCTGTCCCAGTGTTATTATTAGTAGCACCCCATTGAGGTGAGAATTTATATGGCTATCTCTCTATGTAAACCTTTATTGATCTAACCTTCTTTAATCTTAAGCTGTTTGTGTGTCTCTCTTCTCCACTAAACTAATGAGCTCCTTGAGACCAGAGATACAGTCTCATTTACCTAGCACATGCCTGCCATTTTGTGGACATGTAAGAAACGTGTGTTAAGTAGAACTGAAATAAGAGAGTAAAGAAGCGCCTTGGAGTAGAAATAGCCAGCCCACATTATCTTCCATGTGCTGCAGAGGTCTAGACTGGAGACCCAGTTTTGGGTTAGTTATGAGCTTTGTTGGCTTGGGAAACTAATTTTATCTTTTTCAACTAAATGGGAGAATATGTATCACGTGCTTAGTGAAAGGCTTTTAAGTGCCCAATAAATGTTAGCTGCTAGCACTGTTATCAATAATTAGTTGTTAATCACTATTATTACTATTAAAGATAATATAGTAACTTTATAGTTTTCATAATGGAGAATTAAGATAATTTCTGTTTGCTTTATCTTGATAATGAACACAAAGATACTTTAGAAACTATATAGAGAACTCTCACTGCACAGCCCATAAAAGAATGCATAGTAACAGAGGTTTTTGTCATAGAACAGAGTAACTCAAGCATATTTACTTTACATTACATGGGGGCTCAACTGACTGGCAATATAAGGAAACTTTTAAATATAATATTTTAAAAAGGTGAAAAATGGCTGGGTTGGAGGGTAGAAATTGACCTATGCCAAAGTATTGAAACATAGAAAAAGCACATGGGAAAGAATGGTAGCTGGACTCAGGACAAGTAGGGAAATTAAGATTGGGGTACTGCTGAGTGTGGGAGTAAGACAGTGTTGCTCCCAGTGTGATGAGGGGACAGAGCCATAGCTTGAGCTTGGAGCAGAAGGGTATTCATATCAGAACATGCATTCTACTTTGCAAAATTAGTTCAGAGCTTGTATTTCTAAGTTAATGAGAACATTTTATCGAAGTCATGTCAAATGTGGACAATGCCTAAGAAAGCCATTCAGCACCTGTACGTGTTGGAAGGAACCTAATGTTTACACACAAAGGCAGCCTTCAGCCAAGCATCACAGAACCTTTCCTGGCAATGTAATCTTTACCAGGTGAAATAGAGAAGTTGATAGATTTAAAGTTTTATGTTCCAGCTCCCTTGTTATCCTAAGAGACAATTCTAGCAAGAGCAGAACTGTTAACACTAGGAACTCTTGTACCTAACTGCCAATAAACTGGGGGATAGAATTTCAGGTCTATTGCAGGGACGTGATCAAATAATAGCAGCAACAGCCATAGTAAATGCTTACATAAGACAGCAGCCCTGTTACATGGATACAGTTACTACCCCATTTTGTGGAACACAAACTGAGGAATAAAGAGGTTGAATAACTTGCTGAAAATCACACACCTAGTAAGTGGCAGAGCTAGTCTCTGAACCCAAAGAGTCTTGGTTCACAGAATGTGCTTTTAACCAGGACACTCTAGTACCTCTCAATTTTAGCCCTCATAACTAGTATAAAGTGTACCCATGGGATACACTTCGTGGAATAAAGCTGTGGGACTAAGACCATAAACTTCAGGGGCGGTTTTCTGTTCTATCTCAGGACTTCCTTGGAAGGAAGACATTTGTCCAGATTATACATGCATTAGAAGTGAGATTCTTATCTTGTCTAGTTTATATCGTCTGGGGTCTAATAATATCCTCTCATAATGCATCAGTGCCCAGTAGAATGAGTTGAAGTAAACCAAATAGTCTCTATGGTGTTTTCCCGTAGACATAAAATGATTTTTGTTACTGAATGAGGAAGGAATGTGGGAAGGCACAACTCTACCCCAAACTCCCAAGGGCAAGTTGGCATTTACTTGTCAATCCTCTTATGGTCAAATACTTTCACCCAATCCCTGACTCAGAACTCAAGGCCTGGTTCTTTTCTCTTCCTCTCCTGTGACTGCCAGTCCCAGCCAAGGGAATCTCTTGGTACTGCCATTGGCTAGCAGGCTGACAGACCTGGGTTGGAATCTTAGCAGTGGAACATTCTAGCTGTGTGGCTTTGGGCAAGTCGTCTCATTCTACCCCTCTAAGCTCAGTCCCACCATATATGAAATGAGGATGATTATCTCACTTCAGTGAAAATATAGAGATAGGGATGATTGGGAGACTTAAACAAGACAACATGTCTAAACACTTAGCATAGTGCTTGGCACAGTGTAGTTGGGTGCTCAAATTACAGAAACTTAAGTTCTAGTTAGACTGTGACTTCCTTGCTTCCTGGAATCACATCTTATATTTCTTTGTCAAGAATCCTTCTTTACTCTCTCCATCCTTCACCCAGCCCTCTCCTCACCCTCCTCAACTCCTTCATTCTCTGCCCCCATTTCCATCACTAACATCAGTATTTGCTCATTGATTGTTTATTGTGCTTAACCAATATTTGGGGTCGTTTTGATTCTGTCCCAGGAAATATTTGGCTATCGGACTCAAGGCTGCCGGAAAACTCTCTGCCTTGCCGGATCCATCTTCTCATTTGGAATCCTCCCCCTCGTGTTTTACTGGAGACCAGCGTGGCACGTATGGGCACATTGTATCCCATGTTCTTTGCATGAAGCAGACACTGTGTTGCTGAGGACAACAGTAAGTGTGTACCTGGTTATGTAGCTGGTGCCCCCCTTTTTTTCTGGACAATGTATTATGGGATGGCTGGGGGGAGATGTGCACAAGACAGGTAGCAGGTGGAGGCTCCAGTCTTAGGTTCCATCACAGCCTTGCATGTAGCAGGAATTCAATAATTTGTGTATGTTCTTTTCAGGGACATAGATGGATCTGAGGCCATTATCCTTAGCAAACTAATGCAGGAACAGAAAATCAAATACTGTGTGTTGTCACTTATAAGTGGGAGCTAAATGATAGCTCATGGACACATAGAAGGGAACAACACACATCTGTCAGAAGATGGAGGGTGGGAGGAGGGAGAGGATCTGGAAAAACAATTAATGGGTACTAAGCTTAATACATGGGTGACAAAATAATCTGTACAACAAACTCCCATGAAGCAAGTTTACCTATATAAAAAAAACCCCTGACATTAAAATAAAGGTTAAATTAAAAAGTTGTGGATGGTGAGGTTTAAGAAGAGCTATTTCACAAGATATTTCTTTTAAAGTTGTGAGTTTTGTGAATGCTAGAGCGGGGAACAACCATTTTAATAGCTAAAAATAATAGGTGATGTGAAGTAGTCAAGTCAGGCTTTAGGCTACTAAGTTCACACTCAACCTTCCTCTCGAATCCTAATATATCCTACTCCCTGCACTGGAGTGACTCCAGAGGAAAAGAAGGTGAGGGGTGGGGAGCATCCCTCTGAGGAGGATGCTCTTTTTCCCAGCTTATTGATGGGTGCATGTTGCATTTTGCATATATGCTAAGGTAAACAATGCAGCCATCTTGCCCTTGAGGTCATTGCCTCTTTCTGTTAATACAAGACCCTGGCTTTGGGTGAGTTTCCCTGTGTTTGCTTCCATACCAATTCCTCCCAGTGCTCATAGGACTTAGAAAATGTGCATCATTCCTGCAGGACTGTCAACTTCTCAAAGGAAGTGAGCATTTCTGGCTTGTTGATTGCTGCACCCCCAGTTTGCAGCGTCAATCACATTGGCCTCCTCACATGGGGCACCAGCTGTGGCACTGATCACATCGTGGTCACCACCTGAGACACTGATTACTACTTGCAGAGGTCTGTAAAGTAGTAATGACTCAGCAATGGATGAATAAAATACTCACGCACACGATGCAGTCAATCGGGTGGACTAGGGAGGTCGTTAGCTGCTCTTAGAGGGTGATTGCAGCTAACTCACCTCTACTCCTTGTTCTTCTTCGCATTTATTCAGTATAGATTTAATAACAGAGGTTCTAAGTCAACACACTTGCGGATAATTAGCATCGTTAAAAGAGTGGTTTTACGAATGATAAAAGGTTTTTGTTCCTAGGCCTAGAACAAATGCTTGTTCTAAGTCCCATGAGTCCTAGCTCCTAGTCAAGGGCTTTTCCATTGAACTGTATTTAAACCAGGGTTCCCCAACTTCAATTGGCATCAGAATAATCTAGAGAGACTTATCAGAACAGCTTGCTGGGTCCCACTCCCAGAAATTCTAGTTTATTAGATTTGGGGATTCGGACTCAAGAATTTGCATTTTAACAGGTTCTCAAGTGATGCTAAAGATTCTTGTAAGGGGCCACACTTGGAGAAAAGCTGCCGTAACTAGTTTTCACTTCCATTTGTGAGCTCACTTGTTCACTTGGTCCTTAGGAGAGAAATAGAGACCTAGACATTTGATTTACAGCTCAGACGGTGTATATTTATAATCTGAGGGAGAAGAATCCAGATTTAGCAAGGCGTTATGAGTGGCCCTCTCACATATAGCCTGATTGCCTTTCGAGGGCAGGGGTAAAGTTTGCTTTCTGAGGCTCAGAGCAGGGGGATGAGTATCTGTGGAAGACTCTATCTTGGGTCCTTTTATAGCTCAGCCCCTCCACTTAAGAATCTATCAGATTTTTATTTTCTGGCATGAAGCTAATTTAACTGTACTCTACAAGTACCTCCATACGTCCTCAACTAGTTCTTGGAGGGTAATGCTTTTGTTGCGGTAGAAACAGAACCATGTTCTGCCTTTCAGAGTGCATCAGCAATCTCTTCAGATCTGAGATGATCTGGTCAGCTGAGCTGTGCTCTCTGAGTTGCTGGCAGAGTCATGGCACAGACAGGAATAAGAGGAAATGGGAGAGGAAATGGAAAAGGAAGGGAGGAAAATAGGTAAGAGGAAAATGAAGAGGGAGAAAAGAGAAAGCAATCCACTAAGAGCGAATAACAAAAAGAGTGTTACTAAATGAGGAGATGATGTGTTTGGGGATTTAGAGCCAAAGTTTTGATTTCTTGTCCTAGCACTTCAAGCTTGTTACATAACTTCTCAGGATCTCAATTTCACCACTTGTAAAACAGGGCTAGTGTGAGAACAAAGTGCGATTGTGTACCTAAAAGTCATCTGCAAACTGTAAAATGTATTATCAAAGACCACTTTGTGTGTGTGTGTGTGTGTGTGTGTGTGTATGCGTGTGCTCAAGCCATTCTAAAAGTGTTCCATGCAAAAGAGCTTGCTATGCACAAGGTGCTCCCATGTCTCATGGTTTTGCTTATCTGGATGATGTACCTTTTCCTAATTACCCATGAGCCTGGCATTCCTTTTTGGGACAACAGACCTGGGGAAAGGTTTTCTTTTAACTGGGAATCTCCAGCTCTCAACAATACTCAGCCAGGTGATCTCTCCTAGTTGCATGTAGCTAGCTTTGCAAGTGGACATATACTGGAAAGACTCAGAAAAGCTTTGGTGCCCCTGTGAGCTGCATTCCATCATCCTGCCTCTTCCTTTGCATCTTTGACAGTCTATCAAGCCCCTGCAGAATTTCACTGCCCCTCCACAGCTAATCAGAGCAGTCTAAGCTAGCTTCAATCTTGCCTTTTCCATCTTGATTTCAACTTTAATTTTTAATTACCTGCTCTTGTGTGTCATTTTAAATAGATTTGCCATGCCAGAGACTCTCCAAATAAATGAGGTTCTAAATTAGTCTTTATGATGTAATTAGAGAAGAACTCAATTATTTCAAACATTCTTCCTATCTGAGACTTAGATAAAAAAAAGCTTTGGGCACCAATAGTTTAAAAGTTTGCTGCTAGTTATTTGCGTTAAAATGACACCTTAAAAAAGATTTTATTTGAATTATATTACAATGGCTGGACTATAATGACTTCCCATTAAGGAGGACTGGATGATTCCTACCTGAAAATGTGTTGTATATCTGTTCTTCATGTTATTAAAAAATCAGTGCTTGCTATTTATCATCAGTCTCAAGCTGGTAAGATTACAGATCATTATCACAGATACTGATTAGGCAGTCATTTCTTGACATTAAAAAAAAAAAAAGACTGCGATGTACTGACTAAAAGTCTTCAGTACACAGTTTATTTTCAGTTCTTCTTCTCCTAATAGGTACTCGGAGAGATTTTTTCAAAAGATAAAAGTATTAGGTTTTTATTTTATACTTTTCAAGTGGCATTCTGTACATTAGTCATCTACTCCTGAATTTTAACCAATATCAGTAGCAATGCCACATTTCTATGCAAACGACATGATTTATATTCGTTGTTTTGAATTCAGATGCTCCTGATGATTTTCCTAGCTTCCGTCTTTATTGTAATTACAAACACATTTTTCTCTTCATTGTCATTGTAGGTTACATGTTGTCAAAGACCCATGATGTGCAGAGGAGAACTTGGAGATGATTAGCAATGTGGCCTGACTCAAGGCACTTCAGTTTGATATTTTAATGGGGAGCATTTTCGCTTCGGTTTCAATTAAAGATGTCAGGGCTAGGAGGGTTAGTTCAAAAACTTCGAAACTCTATAAATCAGCCATGCAAATGGCATCTTAAAGTCTGCCAGTCCACCAGTATTCTTGTCAGGCGGCGGCATCTGTGTTCACAGGGTCCATTACCTCCTCTCTTCCCCGCTCCTCCTCTGTCCCTTAGTCTGTCACAGCCCATGCTTCCCACACCAGGACCACTTTCCGCTGGAACGAGACACTGTTTTGTGCATGCTTTTACCCATAAAGTTTCTTCTGATAATTCCTTCTCCACTCCATAATTCCTTTTCCCCTACATTCATGCATGCATTCACTTATGTTTTCATCCAGTTAGTATTTACCGCCCACCAACCATGCACCAGACACTGGTATAGGCACTGGGACTATAACTAGAAACAAAACAGATGGAAATCCTTGTCCTTACAGAGCGATCTTCTAGCGGGGAGTCAACACACACATGCTTTCTCTTTCTCAAGTAAATGTAGAAAGTAGGTGTTGTCTCTACTTATTAAAGTCTCCTCATTCCTCAGCCACATATCACCTTCCCTATTAAGTCTTCGTTGATTCATTCTTTGCCCCAGTTCAGAAGGGAGGGAGTTAATCACCTGTCCTGCATTAGCTCTGTGTTTTCATTTGTGACTGCTGTAGTGCTGTTTACCTTATACCAAATATTATTCGCTTTACAGTTTATAATGCAGTATGTCATTGATTATTTAATTAATTCTCATAACAGCCCTGGAAAATGGGCATTATCATCTCCATTTTACAGATGAGGATACAGAGAGACCGAGTGACTTTACAGCCCAGTCAGTGTCAAAGCCAGGATTTCCTTCCTTCTGACTCTTTTTCATACATTTGATGAGCACAGGTGGTATGCCAACCAACAATGCTAGCTCAGGGGCAAGTGTATGAGTGCGTGTGATTAATAAAACCAGGGTTCTTGACCTCATGGAGTTAATCAGATCACTACACAACAAATGTAAAAATTCACCTCTTAAAAGTACTCCTTATGAAAGGTTCTTGGTTATGGTAGGATTATGTAATAGAGATTTGGCCAAGTCAAAACAGTCAGGGAAGGCTTTCTGAGCACCAAAGGATAAGAGTTCAAAGGTGATGGTGGCTGGTGGGGGCAGGCACATGGAGAGTGATGCAGGTGGGAGGGAATATGGGGGCAAAGAACCGAAACCTAAGTCTCTCTAAGTCCTGAGTCTTTTTTTTTTTTTC